AATCATTAGTGACAATTTACTTTTACTTAATATATCTGCGTTTTATGTTTAGTACGAGTTTTATCAACACTAAATCAGAAAATAACAAGAGTATATTCTCAGTAGATATAGTACAAAATACTTTCTTCCATTTCTCCGAAGTATGTAAGCACTAAAAGCGTGTTAATGCCAGTGATTATTTCGATTCGAGTATTTATATGCTAAGTAATGCTAAAAATTTGCTGTCATATTCTATTACTAGCAATTTAATTTATTTTTTCGCTTTAATTCTCTATTTTTAGATATGCAACATGTTCTGGCTTGTTATAAGACCGAAGTTTGTAAGAAGCCGCCTCGTATGTGTCGCCAGGGGTACTCTTGTCCATTCTACCACAATGGCAAAGACAAACGCCGTGCACCTGAGCGCCATCGTTACCGTAGTACTCCTTGTCCTGCTGTCCGACCCGCTGACGAATGGTTGGACAGTTCACTTTGCGAATCAGGTGACTCTTGCGGTTATTGCCATACTCGGACAGAACAGCAGTTCCATCCAGAGGTAACGGATCGTCTATATATTTTAGGAAATTAGAAAGCCAAATAGTGGGTGTTCGTTGAATCGAGAAGTTTTTTCACATTTGTCGACTGTTTAATCTTTGTTTTTAAAATTAGGTCCTTGACAGAGGGTATATATTTGTATATTTTCTATAATTAAAGTCCTTTTTTAGTTATTGATATGGCTGCTATGAATACTAAGAGAATTAGATCTTGTAAGCATTCAAAGTTACCATTTAAGAAATTTGCACCAAAATTCCCTCTCACGCAATAGATACTTTGAAGATTTCAAACATGGAGGTCCTTACATTATGATAATACCGCCGATAACCTGATTGAATGTCCATTTCTGTCTATTAATAGCATGTCATCCACTTGTTTGTGTCGCCAGTTCTATATTTTTGTCTTAGTGTCTTACTTTCTTTAGATCAATTTATTCCCTCGTTTTAAAATGCTTAGACATTACTTGCTTTCTTTAAATGCCTTGTCATTTATTTGATTGTCTTCTCTCAATTAACTCTTTATTAATTATATTTTATTTTCTTATTATAATATGTGCTGTCGATTGGAACTCTTCCTACCCAATTTCATTTTATCTACTAAGCACTAGCGAATACTATTTGCACTTGCATCTAATTAAAAGTTGTCAAAGAATTTTACTGCCCATTTTAGACTTACTACATGTTAACCCTTACCAATTATCTGCATTACACATCACTTGGCAGTAGTGATTCTTATGACATTTTCGTTGTATCCCTTTAAGGTTTTCATTCCAAACGTTTGATTGGTACCTAATTTACATCTTATTATACTTGATTTAGAATTATTTTATCAAGTTATTTTTATTGGATTTGTAATGAATGACGATCATTCTCCTATGAGCTTGGTTTTTTTCTAGAATTTGCATATTCGGATCATCACTTACTTTTAGAATATTATCTTGAGGCAAAATGGCGCTATTCCAACTAATCAGTGGCTGTCCTTGTATTTTCGGAGGCCTCTGCATAAGCGTGGGTTGAAGGTTTTCTGGCAAGTATCGATTGCCTACTTTAGTCGAGCCAGGTATACTCTCTATTCGAGCGGATTAGACCTGGTCTCGTCGACAAGGCTATCACGTGACACGTTTAATCGATTAAACTTTGCAACTAACTGGTCAGCCAATCAGACTTTAGCTCTTCGACTTTATATGGCTTTATAGAGTTTTCCGTGTTTGAGTAGAGTTTCGAGACTACCAGTAAATCAGTAATATGAGATGTATTCACCCTATGTCGTTTAAGGTGATGAGGGACTGGTAGTAAAATTTTCCCACAATGATATGAGTAGAGCTGACATTTCCATTAAATCTCACATTGCCTTGCTTTCCCAAAAGTTGTTCTCATCCAGGGTGGACTGCAGTTTCGACTTCGCATCAGTCTTACCAACACCCCAGCGGGAGTCGAATCGTCATAGTGCGGAATGGGATCTTGAAACGTTAACCACTCGACCACATTGCCACGAGTGCCCTTAGTTACGGCAGATGTAAATTTCAAGAAAGGCCAGACATTTTGGTGGGATTGTCGATGAAGCAAACGTATATTTGTTATAACAATCGATTACGTTAGTTATTTTTCGTGTTTGAGTAGAGTTTCGAGTCTACTAGTAAATCAGTAATATGAGATGTATTCACCCTATTTCGTTTAAGTTGATGAAGTTTATAGAGTTTGTTTGACATTTTCCCAATTTTGTCGTGTTTTAGACGATATTTTGATGAATGCACCTTATTATTTATCTTGTGTGCTTCTACCTTGGGAATGTAACCAGTCAACGTTCCGATGCTGAAATAACTAAACAACGATAACTGAATAAACATTACACGGTACTCTTTTCTCAGTCGCCCTAAAAGGACTATAAAGTTCTTAAGCCAGGTTAGGATAACATTATACATTCAGAAGGTATTGCAGCAAAATCAAAGGCCACACTATCTTGGTCTTCATATCCAAGATCCCCATGTGCAATGTTATCCACTCGGCCTCTGTAATGTATCCTCTCTCTGGAAGGTTTATTCACTTAATTATTTGTGTAGCAGTAATTATATTTAATAATAGCGAGAGATGTAATATCCTAGGAAGAATCGGCCTGACCACTAGTGAAATAATAATGAGGGTGTATTTTTCGGTCTCTAAAAGTATCTATGTATTTTGTTACGCTACTTTATCCTCCATTTCTTTTTAGATTGCTTGTACAACTCGCGATTTATCTCCACTTTTGTCAGAGGTCTAATAACCACATTCATCATCATCACAAAATGCTCTCCAACTACATCTCTTCCATCTGCATAAATTACAATATACATTATTTATAATTTTATATATTTAGTAAGCAAAAGCTGTCTACATGGTTTACTTGTCTTGTTTCTTCTCCAGTTGCATTTACTCAAATGAATCATATTTTTGCTGTTCTAACATTCGCAAGGTCCATTCACTTATCTCTTCCATATCGTTGTCCACTATTTAATTAGCTTTAAGTTTTACTATTGTGTTTATTATCCTAGTTGTTAACATATTCACTACAGTTTTATAGAGGATTTTTATATTACTACTCATTTTCTTACAAATTTTATGCATAGCTAACTTTTTTCTTCCATTTGTATTCCAACGACCTTACCATTTTTTCTCTTCCTT